CACTTTGCACAAACATTTCCCAAGCCAGGAATGGAACTCAGGTGTGCCATTTTTCCAGGTGATTGTGGACTAATTACAAGGTTAGTCGCACTCTCTCAATGACTATATTGGTTCATGTCCCAACATTGAATCAGATGCAAAATGGATTGGAAGTTGGGCCTCCTAGGGTTCAGGAGAATGTAAGAACATCCAGATTCCTCAGTAGAGTTTGGGCTTCTTCACTTTCTTGGAGTCCATCTACTGGAGCTGTTCCATATCGCATAGAACAAATAAAATATTAACTGAACCAGAGAAAGAGAGAGTGTGAAAGAAAAATAACTCTCTGCTGTGGTGGTTAGGAAATCTGTGTGGGAGGCAAGACATCTCAGTCCAAGTCCTTGTTCCTGTACATGTTAATTACTTCTGCAGAATGGAACGTGTATGAAAAGACTGAAAACATCTGGCCCAAATTACCATATACTCTGATGCTTAAGTCATTCCCCTTAGACATAAAAAAGGTAGATATAAATCTTAGGAGGCTCATAACCGGAAGTAGAACCTGTTCTCTACCCTGGAGACAAAATACTACTCCCACCATATTTTTCCAGGAGAATTTTGGTGAAATTAATCAAATAAATTATCACCAAAAAAGCTTGGGACAGAAGTTACACAAACTGGTTTAAGCAATTGGAAACTGGTTTAAACCTGCAATAGAACAGAAGTTCAGTGCAAAAAAACACTTTGAAAATGGCCAAAATTGGTTTAAAATAAACCTGGTTGAATGTAGTATCAGACTTAACTGATTTAGATCAATCCAGTTTATGGAAATTCTGTCCCAGATCCCATCTTGGTTCAAGTTAACTCACAATCCACCAGCATCCCAGGACGCTTTGCATCCATGGGATATACTGTCTGTTCCAATGGAGCAGGAACTGCTTTGCCCTTTGCTCTATAACCTGCTTCCTGCCTGTCTCAGTCACAGCCCACAGGGACGGTGGGGAGAGCAGGGGAACAGACCACCAGACCCCCCCAACCAGGGTCTACACAGCACATGAGGAGGAAGAGCCCCTGTGGTGGAGATTTTTTGACCCTGGCAGCCCTTCCCTCCTTTCCCTTCCCAGTTGTCCTTGTCAGGTGCCTGCCCCTGCAGCCCAGCATGGGGACACTCACCCCAGGCCTGAGGCAGCCCCAGGGAGCTGAGGGGAATTCCCATTCCAAACCCTGGAGCTGCTTGTATTAGCTCCTGCAAGTCTCAGGCAGCATCAGGAATGGAGAGAAATTCTCCTGCTCCTCTGCAGCTGGTCCTTCCTAAGCTGCTGCCTGCCTAAAGGCAAAACTAGTTGCAGAGGAGTGGAAGAATTTCCCTCCACTCCCTGAGGCTGTCTCAGGCTATCCCTGAGACTCGCAGGGGCAAGCAGCTCTGGGGTTTGGGAGGGGAAGACTTCCCCTCAGCTCTCTGGGGCTACCCTGGGCTAGGGGAGAGGGGAAGCAACCCAAGGCAGGGGCTCCCAGCTGCTCCCATGCTGGGCTGCATGGACAGGCATACAATCCAGAGGCCTCCTCTCTCCTTCCCATGGCAGCAGCTGAAACAATCAGCAGCTTGGAAGGGGGATGTAGGGGGAATTTCCCTCAGCTCCCCAGGGCTGCCTGGGCTGGGGAACCCAGGCTGGGGGAAACCTCATGAGGGGGAGGCTCCCCCAAGGTGGGTCAGCACCCAGACAGGAGGCTCCTTAACCCACTGTGGGGGGACAACAGGCGGTTAGGGACATTTAGCTGGGCTGGCAATGGCTCTACCATTCCCTGGCTACTGCCCAGGGTCAGTACAGGCCTCTCCCAATTAAAAACTGAATGTCAATTCAGTTGGTTATAGGTTCAACCTACTCATTTTAGAGGAAGCTGCCTAGATTGAATTGATTCTGCTGCAGGCTTTTTGACTGCCTGCACTTAGAAAAAAAGTTGCACGTCTCCAGTAGCAATAGCGCCACATCAATCACAGCTCATTAGCACAGCATCAATAGTGGAAAATTCTGATTTAGGAGAGGATGAGACTTTGTGTTACAAACTAGTACAATTCATCCCTCTAGGTACCCAGTAGGATATCTACCTTTACCTGCCCTTTCTTAGTGGAACCCAGAGATGAACATCATTCAGATTCCTCCCTAAGATATGAATAAGCCCAAGAAGCCAGCAAGCCTTCTTGGTATGTTAATAGAAAATAAGCAAATGAACCATTCATATTTGTCCCTACTTGGTCAGGACTTGCTCTGGGTTTTGCAAGGCTGCCTGTGAAGTAACATAACAATCATTCATCTCTCCCTCCATATGAACCAGTAAACTTCAAGCTTTTTAGATTCAAGGCATTCCAAAATGTCTCTGAATGTAGCAGTATCCCATTTTGAAACTAATATAAATATATTACAAGTATTGTAAATATTAGAGTCCCAAGTACTGTAATTGTAAGGTACAACCCTGGGACTGTAACAGACAGAGTCTGGGGTCATCTGGCTGGCAGGGACAAGGTTCTGGGGTATGCAGGCAGAACATGGGAAACTCTGATGATGTGGAGGAAAAGAGACAAGGCCCAAGAGCCGGGAGGGATGGGCCAAGTTGTTGCCACAGCACAGTCACTTCTACCACCACCGTGGCCAGATGCAGCTGGGTCACATGCCTCCTGCAGAGCCAGATCAAAAAATGGCTGTGGAAGGAGCACATGCTTGGCACAGCCCTTCCTGGTCTGACCTTGCATGGTGTTTCCCAGAAACAGTTCCTCCTGCCCTGCACTCCTCTGTTTTCAGGAGGTACATTGGAGCTGAACTGAAAAACAGCCGCTTGCAGGCTTGCCTGAATCACATTATTACATTACACAGGCAGGCATGCTGCTTCTGTCACAGCCCTTCCTGGGTTTACTCCAATGTCCCCCCTGAAACCTAAGGCGCACAGGGCAATTTTACCCCACAGCATCAGCCGCCGCCACCTGTAGATAGATGCTACTGCCACCAGGTAGAACTCCCTTATGAGCCTCTGTTTTCAGAAGGCACGCTGGAGTCAAACTGGGAAGAGCTACACCAGAAGCAAACTTGCCTACATAATATAATGCAGGGGTGTCAGTGTCCTTTGGCCTCACAGGATGGATGAGGGTCACTAGGCCATTCTGTGGGTCAGAGCCAACACACAGAGCGAATGCTGCATGGCACCACACGCAGCGCACTTCATGCCAACCCCCGTGTCCAGTCTAGCCCCATATGCATCATGTGCTTAACCCACTCCAGTCCTTGCTCTGCACGTGATGCATGGGGATGGTGCAGACTGCCCTACTAGACAGGCCCGAGTCACAGGCTCCAAGGCTTGCTCAGATTAGGCCCCAGGCTGTATAGGCCATATGACTGACACCCCTAAGACAGGGCAAGCAGGAGGGCCTTCCAGGTGTCCAGTCCAGCTTCTGCCTCTTCCTCCCCACCCCCACAACTTCCACCCGCTGCTCTAGCTGCAGATGCTGCCACTAGTCTCCAGGTCCCTCCTCTCCTCCAGCTTCCACCTCCTGGTTCCTGCCTATGAGCCATTAGAACCTATAATCAGAAGGTTTGGGAGGACTTGAGAATCCTGTGTGGTCCAGGAGCACAGGCACAATGCAGTGGGAGGTAGGGCTTCCATTTGACAGGGAGGGAGAGCATGCAGCAGCATCTGCAAGGAGCAGGGGTGCTGACTTAGTTTAGTGGGTGGGATGCCTGGAAAAGGGCATGGTATGCAGGCTGTGAAGTATGGCTAGGTACAGACAGTCAAAAAAATATGAGGCTGAATCAATTCCATCTCTTCAGGTTAGCCTAAACTGCACAGATTAGATTGGAACAGAAGTGAACAGACATTTACCTTTGATTTAGGAAATGCAGCCACATGTCTACAGTGGCTCAGGTCAGAAGCCAGGGGCACTAGAGCAGTGGTCTCCAAACTTTTTTGATCGCGCACCCCTATCAGTAAAAAAATTTTGAGCACGCACCCCCAATTTATGTATATTTATATAAATATACATATAAATAGAAGTTCTAATATTTTCTTCCCGCACCCCAATGGATTGTCTTGCGCACTCCTTGGGGTGCACACACCCCACTTTGGAGACCACTGCACTACAGCATGGCTCTGGCTGTGTGTTAACTTCCCCTTCCTGCTGCCCCAGGGTCTCTGGGATTTGCAGTCCAAAGTCACAGTCAGACTCTGCAGGGTTACTCATCACTTCCCCTACCTGCTTCCAGCTGCCTCTGGGATTTGTAGTCCACAGTCACAACCAGCATTAAATCCGAGAAGGGGAGGGGGTGTTTAGTTCCCTTCCCTAGTCCTAGCCCCCAGCCAGAGTTTGCCTCGGAGGGGAGCCCTTCCCCCCCTCCCCTAGACTTGGCTCTATGCCCAGCTTGTCTTGCCCCCTTCACCCCCTCATCAGCTAACAACCCAGCACAGGACTGCAAAACATGCTGGGATGCTGAAGGACTGTGATTTAACTTAAACCAGGAAGGGGTCTTGGATGGAAGTTTCATAAACCAGTTTGTCTCGAATCAGTTAAGTCTGATACACATTCAAACCAGGTTTATTTTAAACCAGTTTCAGCCATTTTGAAACTGGTTTATGTGCACTGAACTTCTGTTCTGTTACAGATTTAAACCAGTTTCTGATCACTTAAGCTAGTTTGTGTGTAACTTCTGTCCCTAGCCTATGTGACCAAGGGGATGTATGGCCCTTGCTGAATGTAGCTAAGGGTTGGAGGGACTGATTTAGATATGGGAAGCTTAAGAATATGCAGGTCAAATGGAATTGGACCCAAAACAAAAATGATGAACATCCAGCAAGAGCTTTACTAGGGTTGAAAACTTGTAATGGAGCGCAAGATAAGATCTGATTTTTAAACAATAGTATCCTTTCAACTGCTTCTATAGAAAGAGAAGTTAAAACAGATGTAATACTGTAAAGGTGTCAAACTGCTTGCACTGGTGAGAAACGCAAGGGGAAAAAAAAGATCATAATCAAAATATTTCAGGATATTAAAAAAGCTGTAAATATAGCAGCAAACAAACATTTACTAAAATTTTGCTAAGATATTAATTTTTTTAGCTATGCCATCAAAATGTTACTTCCCATAAAATAGCATTTCTAAAATGAAACATTACATTTCAAAAGCTTGCATAGCCCAAGGTAAAAATTGACCTTCATCAAAATTAATTGTCAACATTTTTTTTGATATTTCTTCAAAACTGTGAGGAAAAGCTTTCCACTAAAAGCTTTTATCCTTCAAAAATAGTAACACACTTCACATATTTACAGTAATCAAAACAATGAAAATCTGTGTCTTGACTTCAGTAAAATTACTCAGATGGTATAAGTTCTTGTTATTATTCATTATACATACTCCTGATTGCGGTTACAGTTGCATGTCAGTGGTAGGAATAACACGTTCTGTTTCTGATATACTTATGTATATAGTTAATTAAAATCAATGGGATTATTCAAGTTTAGACAAAGGAAAGATCAGGGTCAAAATACAAACAGCTGGAAGTAGACAGCATGGTTTTGATTTGGCATTTCCACGTGCACATGGTTCTCTCTCAGTGCTCATCAAGCCACTTTGAAACTAGCCTCTTGGATTACCTGAGAAGAAGTCCATACAACACTTTAAAGTGGCTAGAATAAAACAGACCATTTTATGCTTCATGAAACTGAAATTAATACTCATTTGTTTCCTTGGCTTGTACATTTGCATACCTAATCAGGTTGGGGGCCAAATAATATTCCTGAAAATATTAACATATAGGCTAATCAATTTAAGTATTATAAAATCTAAAATAATTTGATTTAATAAATCAAAAATATTTTCACTCATGGAAACATTTAGCTTTCAGTATGCTCCAAAACTATCCCTACAAGTCAAATTAGCATAGTAGGCCATGGTGCTCAATAACATTTATGTCATGCCAACCAAAGTCTTTCTACAACTTCCAGTCGGCTTTGGATCAGTCTCATAATATAAACAAACCCAATTAATACCTGGTAGGTATCCAAATTCCTTCTGAACCCAGTGAGTTCAATGTATGCAGAAGACTTGCAAAACAGAATTCTCACTCTTCAAAATAATCATAAGCATCGATTTTATATTATTCATTAGGCATAGAGTTTCTCTTACCTTATCCAGTTCATCAGAAATAGCAATGCCTAAAAACAAAGCAGATTTCAAAAAGCAATTTAAGAAACATTCCTTGTAAAAATGTGTTTTTACAGTAAATATAGCAAGTGTTTAATCTAAAAGAACACACAGCTTTTTGCTTATGATTATACAATAAAAGCTATCATTATATTTTATTCCAGTAGTGGAGATGATCAGAAGAAATGTACTGTAACTTTCTTCAGGTACCATATGTTCCGACTAAACTTTCAAACAAACAATTATAAAACTTGTAGATGCAATTAAAGTGGTAAAACCACTCTTTGTTTTCCTAAAATAAAACAGAAATAACTTAATATTTATCATGTAGGCACAGTATAATGCAAATCCTGCATGACCAAAAAACACCCACACAGCATCCAGCTGGAACACAGCTGGATACACATCTGGTGAAAGTAATGCACTGCAGACCAACATGGGCCTGACTGCTTTCTTTTGCCATCATTGAAAAGAAAAGTCCATTAAAATCAATGGAGCTAAAAAACCAGCGAGAGGGAAGAACTGTGTTCAGTCTCTCTCAGAGAAACATCATGATGTAATGGTAAAGTAGTGAGTGCTTCCAGACTCTGAGCAGAGAAATGCTCATATATTTATTTCTACAGTAGCCTCTCTACCAATGACTACATGTACAGCCGCCTGTTTGAGGCTTTGCCACATCCCATTTATATCAATTCATGACATCATATACCACAGTATGTCACAGTGATATGTGGAGAGCTACCAGCAGAGCCCTGTGAGCTATGGAAAGAGACAGGCCACATCACATGAAAAGAGCAACCAGGAATTGTTTGACTGCATCAGAAAATGCTGATTCACTAAAAGCAAACTTTACATGAGAACACACCAAATTTGATTGGAAGGTTTCTATGCTCAGAGGTGAAATTCCTGGTTGAAACCACAGTTAGACTACATCTCAGAA